GTGTGCTGGACAACAACATTCATCATTTAGTATTTACTGTTATTTATACTTAGCTGGATTAATGCAATGGCGTTGTGTTTATTATGCTGCTCTCTCTCTCTCTCTTTTTTTTTGCTTGTTTTCTCTTATTTTTCTTATTTCGGTCAGAGGGCCCGGTGGTGCCAGTGTCCGGCAGCCTCGCCTCTGTCAGTGCGCCCCAGGGTGGCTGTGGCTACAATGTAGCTTGCCATCACCAGTGTGTGAATGTGTGTGTGAATGGGTGGATGACTGGTTGTGTAAAGCGCTTTGGGGTCCATAGGGACTAAATAAATTCATGATCGTTTTAATAGGTTCACAAGATGAAGAGGGGGAGTACACCTTAGACAGAATGCAAGTCTACCACAGGCCTAATACAGGAAGTCACACAACCATTCACAAGTATTGCTAATTTAGAATCACAGTTTAAACTAACAGGCAGGTCTGGGTTCTTGCTAAGATGAGTATATACTAACAACTACTACACAGTGTGCACCACTGCATGTGAAAATACCAAATCTGAAACATCAAAGAGCTTAAGTGTGGACAGACTGACATCGACATTCTGAACAAAGACCTTCTATAATCTGTAATGTCTCCAACATATCTTAAGCCTCAGTTAAACATGTTATTTGAAATGATAAAAGTACCTCAAATATTCAAGAGTGACATGTAGGCAATGTTGCCTGCTCCCTGAGTTTTATGGGTAATAGACTGAAAAATGTTGTTTTTAGGCCTCACGTGTCACTCTGTTCATCCTTACACTCCTGAAATATGCTGGTTAGATTACCATGAACCATGTTGATAGTATTTGCGGAACTGCCCTGCAAACAAATACATTTCTGATGCTGTTGCCACATCAAGGGACACCAAGTGGTGACACTGTGACAACATTGCTCTGTGGCTGCAAAAACACCAGACTACACATAGACTTTTCTGCAGTCACACTATGTAATACACATTTGTTTTTTAAACTAACATGTATCATATCAAAGTTGGGGTAATTTTCTTTTAATATAACTTTATCAACAATACTTTTGTTAGAACATGAATGTAATTTATTCCCAACATTGACAGAGGCAGCCACTTTTATGTTAATGTTAAATGACTTGAAACTTTAAGTAGACCCAAGAGACAATAGTGTCATGGTCCTGGGCCATGTTGGCCCAGTATTCTTAGTTTCATGTATTTTTGTATTTTGTTCCTTATTTAGGCCATGCTTCCTGGGTTGCCCTGTTATGATGTTCCCTAAGTGTTTTCCCCTTGTGACTCTTACCCCTTGTGCACCCCTCTGTGTATTTGTGAGCCCTCGTCTCTCCTTGTGTTTTATTCCATGTTTTCCCCAGCCTGTTATGTCTGTGTTCTCCCCGTGCTCTCTCCTCCTGTCTGAACCTCTGTACTTCCTGTTTTACTTTGCCCGTCTCCCGTCAGTGTTGCGTTCACTCCTGCCGTGTCTTGTTATGATTATCAGTGTCACCTGTGTTCCCCGTGTGCTCCCACTTCCCTCGCTAACCCTCTGTGTATTTATGTCTGCGTCTCCCTCAGTTCTGTGTCGCGTTCTCCCTCATGACTGTGTGCCCCTCCGTGTGGTTCCTCGTAAGTCCGTTCCTTAGTACTTCCCAGTTTAGTTTCATGTTATTTTGTATCGCTGTTATCTTTTGTCAGCAATAAAGCTGTATTTTGAGTTCAGTCCTGTTTTCCCGTGAGTTTGCGTTTGGGTCCTATTTCCTGCCTGCCACACAGCCAGATCATGACAAATAGAGGATGTTGTCACTACGTTCCTCAACTAAATTTTGTTTGTTGTGTCAGTCGATAAACTGAATCAGTTTCGCTCGTGTAGTTTCTAAACGAGCGAATGAACAAACAGCTAATTTATTTTGTCTAGGACTACTAATGCACACTGTGAGTCATGTCTTTTAAGCAAGGGCAACAATTAGTCGGGTTGTTACGAAACATTTATTTCAAAAGAAAAGGTGAACAGATCACAAATAACAGGATGGTTTACCTGTGAGCAGTTGTTAAAAACACATTACAGAACTCAGCACTGTGAAACTCAGGGGCTTTTGTTTCAGACGCAGCCAGAAAGAGTGAAGCAATTGCCCCAAGTGTAATAGAAGAATAAAGAGAGGACAGATTTCTTGAGTTTAAATGATTCAATTTTTTTGGCCTTCAGCCGTTTGGACCATTACACTGAAGGTCACAAAAGCTGAATCATTTTGTCTGACAAAACTGCTCTTCTTATTATGGAGTACTAGAAAAAGCGTAAGCATTTTCTTAACATGTTACTGCTAAAATTTATATGCACATATGTTACAGTATGCAGTAAGTCCACCAATCAGAAATGATAAGTTACTCCGGCTATAACCGACAACCTCAACCGGTTACATGACAAATTCATTCCAAGAATCAAACCTCTTATAGGAGAAAAATGACACACAAAATACCTATTAACAGGTACAGTTATTGCTCACTGTGCTATGAGATAATCTACAGGAAAAAGTGAATAATCAACTGTGGTGTCATTTCCTCTATTACCGCAACTGCTATAAAGGAAGCGAGTCCTTTTGTATAACAGAATATGATCGATACATGGATGGATTATGAGTCAGCACCTCAACAAACAAATCAAAGCCCCAGGAGGATTATTTGTTATTGTCTGTTCCTGTTTGAGGTTATTTAGACTCTTCTTTTATGTCTTCAGACCAACAAGAAATATTTTTCAACAAGAAATATGAAGCTCGAGCTCTCTTATCAGTCACTTTTTCTTGTTTTGCGCTCATATAGTTCCATCTAATGGTCGAAACATATTTCGCTGAAAATTTAATCCATCCATTTTTTTATGCTTAACCGATTCAAGGTAGGGAGGAGCTCATTCCAACTGTCAAAGGGCAAGAAAATTTAATTATAACAAGTAAAACTGAGGGGAAAAAAATAATTATGACATTCTTTACTGACAGGTTCAATGAAAAACACATTAACATTCCCAATAGCCATCACTTAAAAATGTTAGTTCGGTAGTCAGTCATTTCCCACTCCACTGAATATTAATGATACATGCAATTTCTAGGCAAAGCAGTTTACTTTTATTTTCTGACCTTGCTGTCTGTCATTTGTGGAAAATGTGTGTGTTGACGTCAACTATGCAACACTTTGTTTTTCTGTAATTGTCCTTACAGAGCAGTTTGTCGGCACAGCAGCATTATAAATTGTGTTTAATGAGCCAGAGCAAAAATGTAGAGCTCCAAAGAGAAAACAGAGTAGGAAGCAGGATAAATGTACCAACCATGACTTTGGCTTTGAGCTGTGCAGGGCCCAAAAGATGAAGTTCTGTGTGAGTAGTGTGTGTTTTTGTAAAGGATTGAAACATTGTTACCACTTATATACTGAAAATCTGCACTCATACTCTAATGTGTATTTGTGTTATATTAAGAAGCTGGTCAACTGGTAGAGTATGCTTGCTTGGTACAGTTTCAGTGAACGAAGTTATTTTGTAAGATTTTTAAATGGCTTCTGAGGCGTTATCTCTCTGTTTCTTGGACAGTTTCTGGAGGGATGACTGGCAGGCAGGCAAGATTCTGAAACAGCTGTTAGTGTAGCAGTGCAGGGACAGAGTTTGACGGGTCTCAGGTACGTTTTGCTGGCAGTATTCATGAATCTCCTCAGGAGAGTCTGGATCCAGGAAGAAAGGCTCAGAAAGTCGTTTTCAAACTGCAGACTGCAGACGGATAGACGGAGTTACTGTCCAGGAAAGGAGACTCTGACAAGGGAGGCCAGCAACAAACTCTGGCCCACAACCTTCTACCTGCGACTTAAAGATATAGGTTTCTCAAACAGAAAGAGAGAGAAAGGAAAGAATGAAGAAAAAACCTCCAGCCTGTCAGTATCATTATAGAAGTTTGTATTTGTACAAAATGGCCTGGGCACCCACACCAACTACAGGCCAACACAGAGCCAGTGCACAAAAAAGGGGCTTTCCTAAGGAGGCTGAGATCCTTCCATGCGTGCAGCAAAATTATGGAGATGTTTTGTCACTCTGCTGTGGCAAGGACAGTGGTCTTCTTGGGGTGCAGCATTGGAGCTGGTGACACTAAGAAACTGAATAAACAGAGCAGGAGATCTGAATCTTAAATTGTAATTGGCTGCAAACTGGACCCACCCATCAAAGCTGCGGTGGAGAGGAAGTAGCATCAGTCATCAGTTATCCATCACGGACAATCCTGACCACCACTGCACCTCTTACTGAACAGGCCCGGGTGGAAAATGTTTCTTTCCACCTCCACTAAGACATAAGTTGAAAATCTTTTACACCACATATGATCACCTACTATAATACAACATATATGTGAGGTGGAGAGTCATCTGCCAGATATGTTATTTTTGTATTACTTGTTATTTCATAATCATTTCAACTGCTGGAACAAATACTACTACTACTACTACTACTAATAATAATAATAATGGGAATATGGTAAAAATAAAATAGGTCTCATCTCGTCTGTGTAGATTTTTTGGCTTTTCATATAGCTCCATCTAGTGGCTGATACAGATATCGCGGTAAATGACATTACGAAAAACAAAAAGGTAAAGTATTATTTCTGACCTCTATAAGCTCAATTAAAAAGTAGTAGCCGATAGAAAACATCCTTAGAAAAAACTTTATATTTGTTTCGGTGAAAACAAACTGGTGTACAGTTTAGTTTAGCATATCGTGATTATATTGTTCCGTTACGAAAATAACCCGGAAGATATTTTATGGGACAGTTTGAAGTCGCTAATGTTGCTAACTTGGTTAGCGTGTGAACGGTTTCAGCCTACTCAATACGTTCAGTCGTGTGCTTGCTTTAAAAATACACGTGTGTGTGTGTATGTATATATATATGTATATATATATATATATATATATATATATATATATATATATATATATATAAAATGTGTTGTTGGCTGACAGGCTGTGAAATCTTAGACTATAATCATTTCCGGGGTCATCTTTTACTGTCGATACATAACAGTTTCTCTCAGCGACTTGTCACCCGTCACAGCTTTTATGTCCGCTCCTCTGCTAATTGCCGCTGTTGTTGGCGGTGGGGTCCTGCTTCTTATGCGGCGTTTATTCCCCCGTCAGAAAGCCGTTAAGTTGCTCCGTTATTCAGGAGAAAATATGCGAGGCAAGACAGTCATCGTGACCGGGGCAAACAGCGGGATAGGGAAGGCCCTGGCCGGGGAGCTTTTGAAGCTCCGCGCCCGGGTCATTATGGCTTGCCGGGACCCGCGGAGCGCCGAGGAGGCAGCACAGGACATCAAGAAGCAAGCGGGACCAGAAAACGGGGAGGTGGTCATCAAACACCTGGACCTGGCTTCTCTTAGATCAGTCCGAAATTTCTGTGAGGAGGTGACTCAGGTAAATGAGAACCCAAACAAAGCAAGAGAGTAGATGTTTGTAGTTTATTTACCAGCTGTGGTGCACTTTGTTATTGAGCCCAACTCAGCAGAAAAAAACAGAGCATTGTTCCAGGGGGACTGTCCTTGGTGCTGAAATTAAGTATTGGACCCCAAACCCATATTTGTTACAGATGCAAATAAACTATTGTCCAACAGGGGCCAGTCTAGAAGTGTTGGTCTCCTGGCAGATGTTAAGAGTTAATATCCTATTATATTGTAAGCTTCAGCAAAGACGATACTGTTTAACTGTAGCAGTGATCCTTGAAAGGCTTCAAGTATTTTGTTTATGTGGTCCGATATCACAGATTTTCATCAGGTGGCTTTTCATTTCATACAACAAACAATACTCTGTGTGCTTAGACTATTGAGTCACAAATGAGAGTAAACACAGGAGGAGCCAAAAGCTTCCTATACATTGATTACTGTGCAAAATTTTGATCCACCACTCATTTTCTTATATTATGCCTCCAATGAGCCAGACATTTTTAAAGTGGTCTTGATAATTCTCCTGGCTTTCTGAAGGTCTTTGAAAGTCTTTCCTTAGAGATTTGCCTTTTCACTCATTTTCAGTTCACTCTTTGTATCTGATCATTTTCAGAGCATTCATTCTAGCATAAAAAAAGCACCTAACTCAAGAGATGAACCAGTGTTATTGCTACACATAATGGCACATACTGTCAGTCTTTCATAACAAAATGTAAAATTTCTTCTCATTTTTAAAGTTGAATATACAACAATGCCAAAGATAACACAGTTTGACAGGCATAAAATAATATTATTGTACCAACAAGGTGATTGCCAAAGAGCTGTCTGTTGAAAACTTGGCATATCTCAGCAGTGTGTCCTTAAGAAATTTGAGGGAGCTGGACAAGTGGCGGGGAAAAGCGGTGGGCCCAAAAAACTGTCTACAGCAGATAAAATAATGTACTTAAGAAATAGGAGAAAAAATCCAGGAAAGAACTGACACACTGCCAGTGCAGACTGGCCTCCCCAAATTTCAGACCTCAACATTATTGCAAAGAACAGAACAAAAGGCAGCAAGCATCCAAAGAAGAGCTTCGAATGTGCATCAAGAATCCTGGTGAACTATTCCTGAAGACTACCTAAAGAAATGAGAAGAAAGCTAGCCTAAGAGAGCTCAGGCTGTGTTTAAGAATGAAGGTGGTCATACCAAATATTGACTTTCAAGCTTTTTAGGATTGTGAAAACTCAGTTTTTGCTCTATAAAACAGTGTTTTTCTATATGTTATACACATTTTTCAATAAATCTCTTCACCAGAGCAAACTTTTAAGAAATAAAGGGTGGCTTGACACTTTTGCACAGTACTGTAATAGACACTCAAGATGGTAAATTCACAATGCTGTATTAGTTTGATGAAGAAAAATTGTAACCACAGGCTATTATAGCATACCATTCCATAATTAATATAATTAAATGATAAAGACATACAATCTAATACAATTCAGTATAGCCTCCGCTATTAGAAAGTTTTATCGTTTCTATTTTTTTCTGTAATTTAAAAGTTCATATTAAACTATGTTTCTTACAGAAGTTATAATTAAAGTTACGGATTAACTGTATTGTTATATAACACACGGAGATGCTTTGGGGCTTTATTTTTGTCCTTCCTTCTAGCATTCAGGTATAATGTCTTTATAAGTACACATCATAGTTTAAGTCAAAGAGGTTTAGGTGTAAAACATTACTTATATATTTAGGAATTTGGCAGATACCTCGTATAACCACTGGGTGTCTCAGGGAGATCTCTGCAACCCAGAATGTGCTGTACTTTAAGTTTTATTAAAATAGGTATTATATTAATTAACTTAAGCCTTTATTTACCACAGGCCTGCCGGTGGGCCCATTTCACAAGCATTCTTAACCATGACCATAACTCAGTTAACATTTGAGTTCGTGAAAAAATTCAGATGGTTTCTGAAAAATCTGAATTATTTTCTTTTTCATTTTGCAGCTGAAATTACAAATTAGGTCATTTAGCCTGTAGAAGTCGTACTCAACAAAGGGATGAAAAGTTTTTGGCTTTTCCCTTAAGAAGAATCACTAAGATTGTAATAAAAATATTTTGTAATGCTTTCTTTTTTGGAGTATGGGGTTATTTATTCAAGCATAAATTGCATTTGTGTTTCTCAAGTGAGTGAAAATTGTCAGAAAAATGCATACTTTTTGTTAAATAAGATAATACAGACTGATTGCCTTCATTATACTCAGACCAGCCCTGCTCATGTGCATTGTCACACCATAACCCCATTCTAAGTGAAGAAAAAACTTATTTAAGTTGTTTGGTTAAAATTTGATCTTTTGTTATGCATATGGACAATTAATGCCTCTGGATGCTGGAGAAGCTGTAATAAAACCTTAATTGGAGTCTTAAATGTTTCAAATGTATCTTTGTTGTCAGGAGGAATCCCAGGTTGATGTGCTCATCAACAACGCCGGTATTTACCAGTGTCCCTACACAAAGACAGACGAAGGTTTTGAGATGCAGCTCGGTGTGAATCACTTGGGTCACTTCCTCCTCACTCACCTGCTGCTGGACCTCCTGAAGGCTTCGGCCCCTAGCCGCATCGTGGTGGTTTCCTCTAAACTTTACAAATATGGCCACATCAACTTCGATGACCTGAACAGTGAAAATAACTACAATAAGGCCTTCTGCTACAGTCAGAGCAAACTGGCCAACCTTCTGTTCACGCTGGAGCTGGCCCATCGCCTCGAGGGGACGGGGGTCACAGTCAATGCTCTCACCCCGGGGATCGTGAGGACCAGGTTAGGCAGACACATCCAAATCCCCCTCCTGGCAAAGCCGCTGTTCTACCTTGCCTCATTGGTCTTTTTCAAGAGTCCATTGGAGGGGGCCCAGACTCCTCTCTATCTGGCCTGCTCCCCAGAGGTGGAAGGAGTGTCGGGGAAGTGCTTTGCTAACTGCGAGAAGGAGGAGCTGTTACCCAAAGCTACAGATGAGGAGGCAGCCAAGAAACTGTGGGACATAAGCAGGAGGATGGTTGGACTCGCTGACTGAGCAGAGTCCAGCTCTGTGGATGGAGTTTGGGGAGTGGACTTAAGTGTTCTTGGACCTGATAGCTAATCTCTTGCAGCTCCACAGACACCATTCTACAAGCGTCCACTTGCAATAAATAAAAGAACTATTTCCATCCTGAGGATAAGAACATTAATTGAAGAGCATATTGTAGAGTGAAGTGCGATAGTGGTGTGTGTGCAAGAGTGCCACAATGCTTAGAGATTGTATAAAGATTTTAATTTTAAGGTGTGCCTATCAAAGTGATGTTTAAAAAAACAATGAAGCAGTGTTATGTGAAATAATCTGCTTACGTCTCAATAACCCTCCAGGTTTGCTTCTCCCCTAATTTTTAATAAGCTAAATAGCTTTCCAATTTCCACACCATTTAAGAAATCAGCTTGCACACAGCCGTAGCAGGGTTATATAAGTGCATGTAAACAAACCCTCACTCCCTAGAAAGACTCAGTGGGGGGGGAAACATTTCCCTGTCTCTGATAAAAACATTTCATAGAAACAGATGTGAAAATTAACTCTAAACTTGATAATTTACTATATTCTGTAATGAATCGAATGCATAGATTACAGTTTTGTGTCTTGACCTAATCAGACAGGCATCCTCGGGTCAAAAGGAGCAAACTCTCAGGTGCATCGCCTCATAGAGTTCTTCAAAGCCACGCTGAGTTGTCACATTTTCCCGTCAGTGCTTGTGCTCTGCAGCTCCTGGAGTGAAACGCGTATCTGTTTCAGGTTCAGCTGTGGTGTTGGAAAGCTAAATTTTTGCATGCTTTAGCATCTGCTTTGCTGTGCAGAGGAAGGCGAGGTGGTGGAGTGATAGCAGTTGATCTAGTTCCCTTCATCTTGATGTGTTTGAAGTGTAAATGCTTTCTGCTAGGACAGCAAGGTTAGCGATGCCGATCGGTGAGCTGCTGCGCTGCAACTCCCTCCTGCGGATGGATTGAGAGTCCTCTTACCTCATTTTTATTAGTTAAAGTTCAAAGGCATTTGAATAAATTCAAGAGCCTTTCCAGACCATTTACTCAATTGCTAAGTGTGCTAAATGAACCAGTTTTCAAATGATACCAAAGGGTATTTAGAGAAGGACTGCAAGTAATCATTTTCCCACCAGAATAATCAATTTTTCCCAGTTAATCGATCAAATGAAAACTATCCTTCATGATATTAACATGCCATCGTCTTCAAGGAAGAAATGTGGTCGGGGGAAAAAACCTGAATGATTGTGAAATCAAGATCGAAACACCAAAGCTGGACTTTGGAGATATGGAAAAAGGTGATGTGGTGTGATGAGTCTGGTGAGAGTGGTTATACTCTGGTGATTGACAAATCAGGACAAGAACAGACGTGGATGAAGCACTTACCTTACAGGTCTGTGGGGGTAGTGTGTGAGGTTGCTTCAGTTGGTCAGGTTTAGGTTAGGCACCTATGTACCCAAAATACACATAATGAATACACTGAATGAGCTGGTTTGGCCATCAGTACTTTTCTTCCATGACCACGCCGGTAAATTCCAAGGTGACAATGTCAAGGTTTAATGGGGATCAAATTGAAAATCAGTCAAACTCTTTGTTTTTAGGTATTTTGTCCAATCCCTATTTATTTAGTGCTTGGCGTGGCACTTTTAATACATCAAAGGGGAGTATACCATGATATAATTTTCCTTAGTAGCTCTAAATTAGTTCGTTAGATATCACAGACACTCACAGAATATTATCCATTTCCTTTTCTGTAGTATTTTCTTGATGATGACTCCTGGGAAAACACAAATAAACTTCCTCTCTGTTCTGAATTTGTTGGCAAAAATCCTTCTCTACTAACCTATTTTTTGCAATTATTTTTTTCCCAACAGTGAAAAAGCAGAGCTACTTAGTGACTCAGCAATCTGAGTCTGAATAATGAAAGGTCTTCCACTCGTTCATTCAGTCAGCTGAACACTGCAGATCAGCAGACATGTAATTATCTTGAAACAACAACCGATCGCTATGCAACTGCGTGAAAGATATTAAAACATGATATCGCTTTTATTCAGCGGCATTTCAAATCCCCAAATGTGTACATTAAAGGCTGGGAGCTTGTATGTATAATTTGTGCTTTATTAGGCGAACAAAACAACCAAAATATATAAACATGCATCGTTGTGAAATAAACGGGGTTACAGTGGTTTTGTGGGGTGTGGGCATCCAAATCTGAGGTAGAAAGGGGACAGGAAACTTCTCTTGGGGGATATAGAAGAGCAAAAAAGAAAGCAATACTGACTGGTAAAACAGATCAAACGTTCCATCAATAACAATAAAACACTCCCATCAATACTGTCAAATCCATTTAACAGAAGGAAAAACAAAACAAATGTTTCTCATGGTTCGTTTAAGGTACTAATTTGTCTTTGTTTTTTCGCTTCCTTTCAACACTTGTATGTAAATCATCACAAGGCCATCGCTGTTGCAGCAGATTAAAAATAACGGCTGAAACAAATCTCTGTGCACGTCAAGGGGCAATTAAAATACCTCTCTCAGGGTTTTTAGAATAAAGCAGTGGAAGTTTTTTTTAATTTATTTACAAGTTCCAGATTACCAATAGGATTTTGCACTGTTTTTTAAATGTATCTCTTGCTAACAGCTACATACAAAATATATCACTCAATTTTAAGTTAGTATATATTTGTACATTTGTAGTTTAACACATACACATTCTCAAAAGTTTTAAGGACTCTGTGAGCTCCTCTTTGTCTGTTTCCCCACATCTGACCCCTAACTTGACTTACTGCCTTGAGAAATTTATAATGTAAACAATTGCCATCCACTGCCACGCCATCAGTGCTTTTAAATAATCAGCAATGGTTACATGTTTATGATACTGAAGAACTCCTGGCTTCTACTCAAGCCGTCAAAATGGCTGCACTACGAGAAGGTGCAGCTGAACAAACCAGGGCTCTGTGTCTACTATTGAAGATGCAACCTGATTGGAAAGTCCTTCAGTTCAGAAGTGTTCCATAAAGCTGCGCCTTAGTCAGACTGTCCTTCCTGGAAAGTCCCAGGGAGCCAAATTTTTGGTTGTACGGAGGAGGAGGGGGTGGGGCTGGTGGTGGCGACTGGCTCACCTGTGCAGGCACGCTGTGCATCTCCACTTGATAGTGCTGCAGTTCTGCGGCCATCTCCAGAGATCTCTGGTGGAGAGACTCGGTGGAGCTGTTGGGGCTGGGGTCTACATAATCAGTGCTCTGGCCTCCAGATGCGACATTTCCCTCCCTGTCTTTAGAGCTCCCTGAGTGGTACAAGCTGTGCTCTGACCCCTGACTGTCCTCAGCTCGGTACAGGTGAGCTTGGCTGTGAGCCTGGCGCAGCCCTGGGCTGCATTCGGGACTGGGGCTGGCAGCTGCCCACACTGGGTCCATGACATCCACTCCATGGTGGTAGTAGTCAGCCCCTTCCTGGAAACTGCTGTAGAGCGGCCCAAGTCGAATCTTGGCGGGACGGACGGAGAAGTGCTGCTCCGAGAAGCTGTAAGGTGAGGCCCGTCCTGGGCTGCGGTAGGTGTGAGCACTTAAGTCCTCCACGCTAAGTTGTCTCCACCGGCCAATCAGCTCCTCTTCCTCGGGGGCCAATGTGCTGCCTCTACGGCTGTCTCCATAGGCGACACTTGGGGAGGAGGACGGGGGGAGCGGCTCATAGGGCTCACTGAAACAGGAGGACATGGTACGGCTGTAGACGGGAGAGCTGCCGTTCTGATGGTGGCTCAGCTCTGTCTGTTGGAAGGGATGAGCATTGGCAAAGCCCCGTGGACTGTCCCTCTCCCAGGATGAATCACTCTTTCTCTCATAGTCCCCTGCATCCCTCCATTCCATGTAGAGGGAGTGATGGTGGGGGGAAGAAGCTGCACTGCTGGGCGGTCCGTTGCCTTTGTCCTCAGACCCCCCTCCACTAAAACTCGAGTAAGAACTGGAGGCTGCACCCAGTGGGGGAGGGAACTTAGCAAAGTGCTCCTGGGAGAAGCCAGCTCTCAACCCAACCGAACCTTCCTCTGGAGTACTGTCGGTGGAGTTCTGGGGCCCGTACAGGAGCTTCCTCTCGCCGTGAATATCCATGCTGGGCCTCCGCTCACGGTGACGGTCATCAGGGCAATACAGGGCTGTGTCACTGCTGTACAGGTCAGTTTTATAGGCTCCGCGTAGCCCCAAACGTTCTCCGGGACCCAAACTCTCCAAAATAAAGGCATGTTCCTGTGTTTGCGGGCTGGGGGAGCGGGAGGCCTGGCTGCTGCTGCAAGCCTCATCTGGCTTTTCAAGCACTTTGGCAATGAGAGAGGTCGGGACAGAGTCAGAGTAGGTGTGACAGAGGGGAGACTCCTCCAGGTGCATGGTCAGGCGTTCCTGGAAGTCAGCAGGCAGCTAAAAGTATCAGAGAAACAAGGGTAAAGCAGGGAAAATCGGTGAATGTTAGTTATAAATTATAGCAAAGACCTTATTCTATGTAGTGTAGGAACTGCTGTACACTACACTGTCAAACTCTCTCTCGAGTAATTAGTAGGTAAATCAGGGTGTTGACATTAAAGGCACCTTTAAACTGTGCAGCAGCAGCAATAATTTAAGTATATCACATGTCACACTGAGCATCGGGTTTTGAGGCATCTGCGTCAGACTGTACAACATCAGGCACCAGACTATTTGGATCGTGGAGTGAAAGTAGAGTCAAGTCATCAGCCTGTATCATCTGCATGTATCCAACGTTCCTCTTTATTCATTTCATTTTGTCTCGCACATTTTGATTGGTGTAAAATGATTTAGTTTTTTTTTTATGCATGGTCATTTGTTTTGTTCTATAGCTACTTTTTTCTATATGAAAACAGAACACAAGTGAATGTCTTTATTATTCGTCCATTATATTTTTATTGAGACTAATATTTTGCAGGTGGATGCACACACAGACCAGCAAGCATGATTGACACCCTGATGCTGTCTCCAAAACTGAACCACAGATGGATGTTGACGCTGCTTCCACAAACAACAGACATTAGATCAGATTATTGCAGTGAATCCATCTTTCTTTTGTGTTGGGAAAAAACAGACAATTAATCTGCCCATATGGAGAAGATATATATAAATCTTATAAAGTTTGTATCTGTCTTGTCTGAAACTTGTATGAAAAGCATACAAGAGTGAAAACAGATATAAGATCCCTTGAAAAATTATATACATGAAACTTGTATGTTTTGCATACTTCCTAAAACAATATATGAAAGTAATGAGAAAGTGGCCACTTTCATGAGTAAATCATATAAGCCTTATACGATTCACTATATGAAGCAAGCCAAATCTGATGCAAGTCTTTTATAAGTTTTTTCCTTTTCTTTTCCATATTGGTGGTTCCTAAATGGGCTAAATGAAAAAGAAGTTAGTCAGTAGTTTGAGTCATCATTTAGGGTTTTTTTGTCCTCATTCTTTCTACTGAGAATGCTTTGTTTACTTAGTTTTCTTCTAATTTTTTCAAAAAAAAATTTTTTTTAAAATTCGAATTCACTACGCGATAGTAAAACATCACTGCGCCCCCTCAAACACCAAACCAATTTCAGCCTAAATGGAGGGAATGCTAACGCATAAAGATAATCTTATTGGTGTATCCATCACCAGACGTTTCACATACAAAGAGATGAAAGAGGAACATTTATATATTTAATGCATCATTTCTAGGATTTACTCAGAGGTTAAAGTGAGCCAAAACTGTATCTTTGGTGCATATTTACATACGTTGTGGTTGATCTTGTTAAATTCTAGTGTTAGCTGATAACTTAGCCCCCTCTCATCTAAACATAGTCATGGAACGGTTCCTAAAAAGCAAGGCTTTAAAAACAAGGCTAATGAAATGTCCTATCTTTAGTATAGTATTTCATCAAATATTATTTCTTAGAATTTAAGCCCAAAGAGTCATGCTGATTGATTTCTTTCTGGTGACATGGCACTTCATTTCTTAAATAAGATATCTCAGAGATTAAATGTGTGTGGCCTCCGACATAAAAGGAGTTTGACATCCCTGGTGTAAAGTCTTGTTTTTGTGTCAAATTAAATTTACAGTTTCATTTAATATGATACATGATGCTTTTATTTTTCCATTAATAAATGAAATCAAAATTTAAACACTGCATATATTTGTATTTTTACTTGTTTAATGATCTGAAACATTTAAATCTGACAAACATGTTTAAAAAAAAAAAAAGAAGAAGAGAAAGAGCAAACACTTCACAGCATTTTAGCGTTTTATCCAAGCTGCTCACAGGTTCTGTTATCCCTGCACAATGCAGTATGTGTGTCAGTATGTTAGATTGTACTTTAGGTGGTTTCTGAATACGATACAGCAACCTACACGTTCACATTTACCTGCCTTCACTGCATGAATTGTGTTCACAGCTGCAGGGGGAAAAGTGTAATCTTCAGTGTCACGAACCTCAACCAAAGAGAACAATATACCTGATTTTGAAGTGAGAATAAGTCGCTTTCCTGTTCTATTTCAAGCATTTCTTAATAAAAAAAAAAGCCTCCAACCACTATCTCTACCTCTCCATAGCAACAAGCATTAAGCTAACTGCAGCACATCATCAACAGGAATCTAGTCAGTTGTTCCTAATTGGCAATGAGAAGGAAGCTAATTATAACTTTGTAGATAGAGAAAAGACAAACACTACAGAGAACATGAAAGAGACGGTTTATCATAGCACTTTTATTGCATCTCGGACAAAACTAAATGCCACTTAATTACTGTCCACACACTTTTTTCATTTGGGCTTGTTTTAAACAAGATCTCAATTAGCTTTTATGCGTCATTCAGAAATCCAAGCGTGATCATTTTACACCCTCTCTGTGATTGTTTTGCAGCAGAACAAACGACTAAAGCGCTTCTGTAGGCGCTGAAGAGCCACTGCACCTCTCAAAATGCTGCAGCGCCATTCATCAATACACTTTCGATTAGCTCACACCCACAGGACCAGCAGACGGGTGGACACACAGTGAGTGCATGTATAGCCTCTGACCCCTATTATGTTTGGCAATGTGCCTGCAGAACAGTTTTTCACTTTATGATAGACCCTTTACTGTTAACGGTGCCTACGTGCGTGTGTTAATGTGTGTACCGTGCAAGTGTTGGGGATATTTTATGAGTCTTATGCAACCAAATGCAGTTTGCATTGATATTTCCATTCAGCCATATGCCTAAAACACGTGGACAGGCGTTCTTTAACCTCGTGGACGCTTGCCAGTTTCAAATCTACCCTTGTCACATGGGCGAGGCACAAGGCCCACGGCTGATGCAGCGGAAAGTGGCACCAAGCTGGGCTAGTGTTAAAACACTCATCAATACCCGCGTGCATTCTTTTCACAAGGAGCAGCAGGACACTATGATGAGGCTGCACCGTGCTCTCCATTTATATTTTGCCACATACAGTAGTTTTACCTCCTCTGTTGAGTGTCCTTCAGAATTGCTCACAATGTGCCTTAAAGTAGTTCCCATGCTGCTTTGTGGTTTTACGTGATTAACAAAACCGGTGCAGTGTGACCGCACTCTGGCTAAACTGCACACTGAGTGACCAGAACAGAAACACCAGTCTGTGTGCATGGAGTAGAGGTGTAGGTGTTATTGTCACAGTTTCAAGTCATGGAGGAAAACAGTCATCACCAAAACCTTAAAACATTGCATCCAACACAAACCACAAATAATAAAACTAAGAGAACAAACACTGTTGCCCTCTCCTTTCTGGCTGCTTTCTGCATTTCCCCAGTCTATGTTTCCCTTTTTGTGGGGCTTGCTTTGTGTCCCCATTTCTGTTTACTTCCATCTTTCTGCCTTTTTTGATGCTTCTTGTTGACTTCAGCTGTGTCTTATTATCCCTCTATTATCCCTAACAAATTAACACAATTTTAAATAAGATGATAGCTTTTAACACTTTGGTGAAAATCCTTTCCGGACACTGACTGCCTGAAGTCTAGAACCCATGGACGTCACCAAGTACTCTGTGTCCTCTTTGAGATGCTCTATTAAGCCTTTACTGCAGCCATCTTCAGTCACTGCTTGTTTGTACGTCTTTCTGCATTCAGTTTCATATTAAATAACTGAAAAGCATGTCCTGTTGGGTTGAGATCAGATAACTGACTTGGCCACTGAAGAATATCTCTTTTATTTAACATGACAAATGCTTTGATTGCTTTTCCAGCATGCTTTGGGCCATTATCTATTTGCACTGTGAAGCACTGTCCAATCAGTTTTGGAGCATTTGGCTGAATCTGAGCAGAGAGTACAACCCTGCACACTGCAAAATTTATCCTGCTGTTTCTATCAGCAGTCACGTCATCAGTACGCACTAGTGGCCCAGTTCCATAGACACAGGTTTGATTCTAGGTCTTTCTCATGATGTCTACCACCTCAAAAGGGTTTTTGATCAGCTGTTGTAAAGGTTTTCTTTTTCCTAATCATGGAAATAATTCTGTCATCATGCACTTTAGTTGTCTTCAGTGGTCTTTTAGGCTGGAAAGAGCCTTCATTCTCTTAAGTTACTGCTGACTCTCCAATAGGTCGAGTTCGATTCTTCAGCCTAATGATGGCCTCTGTCACTTGAATTGACACATTTTTGGGGCTCATATTGAGTAAAAAGCAAGTTCAGATGAAATAACACCTGGAATCAACTCCAGACCTTTTATCTACTTAATTGTCATGAATGAACAAGCAAATTAGTGTCATCTAGACATAAAACTAGATGCAGTTAATTGTCAAACTACTTATGAGCATATAAAACTGGACAATTATCCATAAAATGTGTCTAATACCTGAAAAAAAGCTAAAGCAATACTTTTGTTAAAGCCCTTGAATTAAAGCTGAAGGTCTGCACTTTATTCACATCTTGCTTGTTTGATTTAGCTTTCACTGTGGTGCTGTACAGAGGCAAAATTATAAGAATTCATTGTCATTGTCCAAATACTTATGGATCTGATTGTATATGCTATTGCAACTTTTTATTGTCAGGCCTTCAAATGATCTGCATTTGAGAAAAAGCAGAAATCTGTTATGTTTACTAAACTAAATATTTCTCACATGATATATGGTAAATGCACATCACTGTAGTTTGGATAGAAATAAGGTAAAAATCTGATTTGTTATAAAGGAAGATGTTAATGCTGATTTGCTATACTTAAAAGAAAAATTAGTAAATCAAGCTGTGGTTCATGTCCTTCAACACATAATCATTGTGTATAGTATACATAGTTCTATAGTATATATCCAGATTGCTTCTAGCTAAAAAAGTCTTTTAAACTCAGAGCCATCGACTTTTTGAAAACTTGCCTCTTTCATCTCTCTCAGGTGAAGGTTATTTAAAGAAAAAACCCCATGAAGCTTTAATTCTTCACTTTCTGTCCTTCCTCCAGTGACCTACAGTACTCATCGCTTCGGGAAGACTTATCTTTTCTGGCTCACAAAGGGCAAGATGACCTTCATGTTACAGTCAAGACAGCAAATTTCTCTTCGCTCATCTCATGTCATCAGCTGAAAATTCAGCTTAGTGCTGCTCAAGATACACCTCATTCAGACCTCTCCTCCCCCTTAGCTTTTACCAAAGCTTTTTCTTTTACCTGGCTACCGCTGAACTGAAAAATTACAGATTTTTCTGTCTTTCTGGGTTCACATCAAATGTCAGCGCAAAAAAGCCTGAAGCTCATACAGTTCTTAAGCTTGGTTGTATGCGACTTTTGTGAAGAAAGGCTACCAGGGATTAGACTGAGGCCTCACTAAAACTGAGGAACATATGCAAAATGCATTTTTACAAAGGATAAAGAGCACTGGAAAAATCAAGCCTGTAAAAGTGAGTGCACAGCTCACCTCTGAGAGTTGAGCCATGTAAAGAGACTTGTTGCACTGCAGAAGCTGAGCAGCCAGGTTACAGTCCTTTCTGTACATTTCCTGCAGAGGCACAAAATGGCCACAATCAAATGAAAGAACAGAGAATGAATATTAAAACTTTCGTTGCCAGCTAAATTTCTGGTCTCTTTTGGATCAATACTGCTTAAACTCTATTCTCCCAAACCTACTTTCCTTCTTCAGAAACACAAAACTTCTTATTTAACTGCTTATTTGAAGCACTAAACATGCTTGGGAAAAAAACTACAATTTGCAAACACATTTGTACTGGTGTAAATGTACAAATTATATGGATCTTGCGTATGGGGGGTACAAAATGACTCCGGAGCCCCTCCCCCCTTTGAAATTACAACATTAAATTGTGCACACGCATAACAAGACGTAGAAAATTTTGGTTTTAAGTCCTCAGTGACAATCGCCTAAAGACTAGTTTGTGACCTCCAGGTTGCAAAGGTGAAATGTTCATTAACCACAGCTGGTGAGTAGTTTAATTGTGAAATCAGTTTCTAAAGTTCCAGTCACAAAGGCCTAAAGAATGGCCAACTGGTGACCAGGAAAAATTTGTTTTGCTTGAAGTGACTAGCTGTTTCTGACCAGACCAGCAAACCAGAAATGCGAACCTTCATTTTTAAAGTCAAAGTTTTTTTTTTTTTTTTGATTTTGATTTTATTGATTAGCATTCAAATTCAAATCTCAGTGAAAACAGTGAAAAAAAAAACACAAACAAACAGTGAAAACAGAACAAAAATCTACCATAAAGAAAGAAAGCATGAGACAAGGCTAATGAAAAGGTATTGCTTATTACGCCAACCCTTTTCACAAAATATCTTTTTGTATGCAGCTCCTGTACACAGGGCTTGAAGAAAATAATAAAACAAAGCAAAAACCAAACAAACAAAAAAAAAAAGAAAAAAAAAAACTTTCCACCTTAGATAAGTAACTACATCAAAGCAAAAGAATCAAGAGGTTGTTTTTTTTTCTCCTTTTTGCTCTTTTCATTCTTGATTTATATATTTTTCTATTACTCTATTTTTAAACATGTTTTTAAACAAGGAAAATGAACTACACCTTTTTAAATCACTGTCATAACTATTCCACGGGTTAACTCCTCTAACAGAAACACATCTCTGCTTTATATTTGTCCTCATCTTGTTTTTTTTAAAGAAATCTGTTCCCCTTAAGTCATATTGACTCTCTCTGACTTTGAACAGCTTCTGAGTACTGGGGCAAAGCAAGTTATTTTGTATACATTATCTGTGCCATTTTATATTCAACTAAATCATAAAATTTCAGGGTATTCAGATTAATAAACAAAATGTTAGTTGGTTCTATATAGTTTGATTGGTTTATAATTCTTATAGCTTTTTTTTGTAACTTGAAAATATGAAGAGTGTTCGTTTTATATGCATTACCCCATATCTCTAGACAATAAGTCATATATGGAAGCAACAGAGAACAATAAAGTGTGTATAATGTTTTTTTGTTCAGGACATGCTTTGTTTTATAGAGAATAGCAATGGTTTTTGACATTTTTGTTTTCACGTGGTTTATATGAGACTTCCAACTCAGCTTATCATCAATTATCACTCCAAGAAATTTATTTTCGTACACTCTTTCAATTTCAATTCCATTAACCCTGATTTTAGATACATTTTTCATTTGTCTAGTGCCAAAAATAATCAATTTTGTTTTCTTTATATTTAATGATAACTTATTTACATCAAACCAGTTTTTTAATATATTTAACTCCTTTTCCGCTGTAGTCAGAAGCTGTTCTAAGTTTTTACCTGAGCAATACAGAGTGGTATCATCAGCAAACAATACACATTTTAACAGTTTGGAAACACTACATATGTCATTTATATATAATATAAATAATTTAGAGCCCAGCACAGAGTTCCATAGTGCTGCAGCCAAGATGTTTGAAAAGGTACAACTTTTACTTAAAAGGTGAATGTTCACCTTTTATGGTTTGCAGTTCATTTTTCAAGTCTTACTACTGCCTGGTATGTAATGAGCAAGTGTTTGCAAACAAGTCAGCATCTTCCATGCAACTACAGGCAACCATAGCAAAATGCTAGCAATCAAAGCCCTTGGTAGCCAAAGTTCAGTCCAAAGATCTTGGCCATGCTAAATTATAAAGCTTTTGAGTTTACATTTAAGGATATGTGGAAAATTCTGATCAATCGCCACAGCACAAGAAATTCTCACAACTCTAATGCACACTGTACACCACCTTATGGCAATAGGAAATCAGCATTGTTTGAAAGCATTATCGGATGATCACGTTTTCATTGTGCGTTCCACACATGTAATGTCAAATATTATTAGTGGATGTAATCTAACACCAACTAGAGGCCACAGGCTGTTGTAAAAAAACTAGCTTGTCAAGGGATTAATACTGTCACGACTGCAAGAAAAGTGTCAACTGCAGCAATAGCAGCACATCTCCGTGTCCCCAAAGGTGTTAGGGCCCTATCATCACTCCTTGTAGCTTTAATTTTGCATGTTAGTTTTTGGTAGTTTATCTGCCATTTGTTCCTGGAGACAAAGAAATCTTCATTATATAACATCACTGAACTTAGTCTTCAGCTCTTTATTGCTGTTTCTTTTATCCTTTAGTCAGTGCAAAGTTGCATCACCCACACTGCCATCTTATTTGCTGATATGCTAATATCTGCCGACAAGTTTATGCATTTACAGTAACACACCCAGTAACACACCAAACATTTTCTTCTTTATTATTTGTCAGACACAACACGTAGTTCTTGTCCCAGTTGTGCATAACTTATGTAGCCTAACAATGTCTCTGCTACAGAGAACATGGTAAAAAGTGTTGAGTTTCCGCAATGGGATACCTGAATGAATGAACCACTTCCTCTACAAATGCCATAATTCAAGAGGTAACTACCCCTAGTGACCAAATGTATAATAAAAACAAAATTTAAAAAACCCCAACAACTTTTAACTTATCCATTTATGTTCCCGCTGCCTATAAATCAAAGTTAGATCCTACCGGTCATATTTTTTTATATGTATAATGGAACAGTAAAATCATGAGTCCATTTTGAACTTTAATGCAACAAGGTCATCTTACTACTGAGCTTGCATGTCTTACTCACAAGTTTGTCCAATAATCTGAGAATTTGCAGCTCCTTTCTGGTGCTCCAGTTTGCATATCATAGTGTCACTGGGCAAGAGTATGAAAACCCCAAACAGAATGTATGGAAGCGCCTATTTTCTATTTGCCTCAAACAATAACTTCATACTCATCGTCTGGCTCTGCAGAGTTGAATGCTGGGCACTGCTTTACTTACATTGTCTTCTTGAAGCTTCTCGATGGTGAGCTTTGCCTCCATCAGGTGGTTGTTGAGGACGATGATCTCTCTGCTCAGAGCACGCTTTTCATCATCGTGGTGCTGTGACTGATAATGACAGAGCAGGGATTTAAAGATTACTTTAAAGTACTTTCCTCTGTGTAATTCTTTCTTGTGTGTTTTTTAGGAATGAAATTTATAGAATTTATAGAATAGATTGTTTATAAGAGACCTTTCAGACTAACTTTCAAAATTGATTCTTGCATGTTTTTAATTCAAATATGAACCCGGTAAACATAAATAGAAAATTTTTGATAGATCTTTCTAATTTTCTTTTGAGATCTAGGTCGTCAGTACTGTTTATATTGGCAACTGTATATGTATATTTCACCTAACTCTTTTGGGTTTTGGTGCCCGTGGAAGTGCTTTCTGTTCTGAGTGTTGCTGTTTTAATTCCCTTTTACTTTATCTTGTTTAGTTTTACTTTTCATGGTTGCCCTCTTGATTGTCTTCAGCTGTCTTTAGTTCCCCTTCTATTTCCACCTCACATGTATATATTCCCAGAGTGTTCCTTTGTCCTTTGTTGTGTTGTCCATGTAACTCAGTAGCTTTTCTTTGTGTTTCTGGATATTTTCATTTGGACTTTTTAGATTAAATGCTTGCTTTGGTTTCTACTTCTCTCCTGCGTCCTATTTTTGGGCTGTCACACCTAATCCATATTGCTTACAGCTGAATATGACAGCAGCCTATTACATACGTATTTCTTAGCTACTGTTGATGAATGGGAAACTTTAATGTCAGTAAACTGAGCTTCCATATAGTTAAATAATTTTTTATTGCATTTTTTTAAAAGCAAAGTTTCTGTTAGCTTCATCACCTGTCAGTAAAATGTATTTTGGCCAAGAGCTTTGGGTTTGTGGAAGCTGTAATTAAAATGCCTGAGCGTACAGTAGTTCCGCCTCTTTGAAAAGTTTAACAGACTCAAACTATATCACAGTGTTTATCAGTCTTGTAATTACGTTCTCTGTAGTTGTGCAGGGCCAAGGGGTCAGATGGGTTTGCGGCACCTCAGGAGTAAACAAGCTTTACTATTACAGAGAGACTTACTCAGCACCTTTCTCACCCTTGTGGAGGGTGTACGTGAAATGAATCAATAACAGCTGATGAGAACACTTCAAAAAAAAAAGAAAAAAAGAGGCTACCAGCCTTTATTTTAAAAATCACCAATTTTCTTTACACAAAAAGCTGGGTGACCTTCAGCTCTTTATTACCTGTACTTGGTATCTCACATTGTCATCAAAATGATGGCGACAGCAATGATTATTATCTTGTGCTGTAACAAACCCATTCGACGAGCATTTTCAGCTGTCTATTCAACAGCGAAGACACCTGATGGTCATACAGTGTTCTCCGGCAGACTAATTGTATCTTTCCACCAGCAAAAAAAAAGCAATGTCTGACAAATGAAGTGAGGTGCAGAGCACTGAGGAACAATGGGTTTGCTATCACTCTGCTGTTGGAAGGAGGACAGCCAATTGTAATAAGCCATAATTAACGTCAGTGGTACCAACAGAAGGGCATTCATATTCAAACAAGCTCACCAAGTGCTCTGTATCATCTCTAAATCTCAAGGCTTTCCTACTTGCTTCTTTTCTGTCTACAAATACTGCAAATAGTTGACCGCAAACCTGAGAGCTTATTGTACAGCATGTACACAGGGTTTAAAACACACAGACACCTGTTAAGATACTCACATTTCTGTGGATCTTCTCCTCCAGATCCTGGTTGATCCTCTGCAGTGCTGAGTAGCTACTTTGTATTCTAAGTGACACAATAAACAGCAGCGCTCACTTGCAGGTAATAGATTGAACATAAATAGTAGCAGCCGAAGACTTCTGCAACTGGAAATAAGCAGATTGGCAGGCTCAGCAGTGCACTGCACAATTCAAAGCTGAATAACACGTCATATGTCTCGTAATAGAGGGATTTTTCCCCCCACAAGGCATGGTAACATATATGGAAAGATTTTGGGCACCAGTAATAAATATTGAGCCGCAGCTCCACTATGGCTGACAGAGGACCCCAGCCTGAGGATGTCAACGTAATTAAAATGAAGGGGAAAAGGTGACGTTTTGATTATATTTTATAATTACACCTCTCGGGGTTTCTAAAAAGTACCTCAAATATAAAAATGCAACTCCTTTTTTCATTTTAATACTAGTAAATGCAAGGTTTATGTCATGAAACGAATTATTATTATCTTTGTTTTAAATCTGTCTAATCACCACCAAAGCAGATACTGTGATTAGTTTTGGGAATTGGTTTTGAGTCAGCGCCATAATTGCTTTTTGTTGTTTTTGTTTTTTACTGAGTGACATCAGCACCGTCACCGATCTGATGGTTCTTGGTGGAAATCTAAATGGACAGATGTACCGAGATGAGGTGCTCTAACCTGTACACTGCACAGAGTATCAGTAGTATATCCAGACACTTCGTTGGCCAGCATTTAGTCCCAGTATGGCTCCTGTTGAGGATGCCTGAGACATGCCGTGTTGACATGATCATCAGAAACAGCTACAACCAATGACCACTGCACAACGGCAGCCTTCACCCATCCAGGAATTGGACAGCAATTCCTCAACAGCAGACTCAGACACTTGTGTGGCCTTTCACAGAGGAAACCATGCACTCTATCTTGTATATGCACATTCTAAAGTGTCAGACTATAAAATCTATGAAATCTATTTAAAACACAAACTGGTATTTGTTTTTGATACCACAAGTAAAAACTTGTGTAAACAGCAGGTGAAGATAACAGAAAAAATTACTTTCCAGGAGGTAATTTAAAATGATACAGTATTGTGAGTTACCCAGATAAGAAACACTGCACTGCAGCACTGCATAATTTGCTGATCTCTCAAACACTTGTGGTACAATTGACTTGTGCAATTAAATTCTTAGATCTTAATTGAAGGATGATCTCTAATATAATGACTTAAAGACCCCCTCAATACGTGCTTTACGATATTGAAAAGAGATTAATAATAGCTTCAGCCCGCTTTGGTTCTCACATAAAATCTAGAACGCTCGTGGTAGACATATAATCTTTATTATTTCACTATGTTTGAGTCTCCAGGTATTTTCTGCTAACATCACATTGGTATACCTTCTGTAGTGGATCATAAGGGGTTTCAGAAAATCACCTCATATGTCTACTCCTTAAACAGTGATGCAGTATTAAACATTTTTCCTTAGGCACATGAATGAAGTGCTATATTTAGAGCAGTCAAGATGAGACGAATCCTGCACATGCTTTAGATAAAACAAAAGCAGAATTCAGATTGTTTTTTAATAGTTTTAGACAAGTGTAAAGAGGAATTTTGTCAATCTTTGTATTCAATCATTTTCAGCTTTTTACGTTAAAAGCCTTTTGTAGCTATTTCTGGAAATATCCTCACTTTCTTAGATTTTTGAGAAATTTATAGCACCATCTATACAGGTCATCTTGCCTGGAAGTCTTTCTGTCTCGTAGCCTCGTATTAGTACCCTCCCACTTCTCTTTCTCGTGATCTGCACTGTGTGCAGTCACTGGTCTTGGCCGGGTCCACACCAAACAATCCGGACCCCGTCTGATCCAAACAAATTTATTTTGGTCTCTTTTGACCAAAGAATGTGCTGCCAATATTCATCAGGCTTCTTTTCATGTTCTTTGGCAACATATATTATTATCCTGGCGCCAAGTTGGAAACGGCGAAGCGCAAGTGGCACCATTTTCTGAGGGTGGCCACTGCACCTTCTGTTATTCATAGGGTGGCTCTTCCAATTACTCCTAACACCTGGTACAGCTGTGTTTCAGCATAGAAGTCTGATGCTGAACATAGGCTCATCCACCCATCCATATTTTTGTATAAGCAATCACCCTGAAGTGGAATTTTAAAGTAATATTGTAGACTTCTGACATGTAGTTTGATTGTTCATCATCATGTACAGTAAATGTCAAACCTCCAAGCAAAACACATTTGAGCTGAGCAGTACTTAAAGGCACACTGCAGTGTGCCATTCTTGGGCCCTGACTATTTCAATATGACTAATCTTCAAAAGTAACATTGTTTTGTGTAGCACTGTGTTACAGCACCAATGATGCGGCGTTAAATGCATCTGTCAAATGCTGACATAAGCTCAAAATGTTTAAGAACCCAAATTTCTCTTCTTGAAAGAGAAATAAAACTGAATTTGGAAAGGAAGCAGTGAGTTTGGTGACACTTTTCTGGAAAGGGTTTAATAATCTGCTGCCAGCGTCTAATTTGATCTCTTTATTTTGTTATTTTGTTATTTCCCTTTAGGTGACAGAATAACCATGCTCTGCTTAAAACTGATATATTATTTGTTTAGCATTCAGTTTATCATTGTGTCCGTGTCCTGTATTATGCTTTATATCAGGGGTGTCAAACATAAGGCCCGGGGGCCAGAATCGACCCGCCAAAGACAACAATCCAGCTCACTACATGTCTTTGGAAAATGTGGATGAGTGCATAGATTTTGGACTTCTAACTGTATTTTCACATTTTACAAGTTGTCCTACTGATAAAGACTTCCCCCACAGCAATTCACATACAACAGTGTAATAAAGTAATAATTACACAATTGAACAACAGAAAAAAATCCCAGTTTTTTTACTACCTACTAGTCAGTTTCAATTTCAGTTTTTTACAATGTTTCCACAATAAAAAGAATAAATTAAAAAACAGGGAATTTTCTGGGAATTAATAACAACTTTCTTCTTTATTACTACAGGACAGTCTAGACCATGAGCATCCAGAGCTTCTTCTGAAATGTAATATTTATCTTTCACAGTTTAAACCCAAAGAGTCATGCTGATAGATTTCTTTAAATAAATAGAGCAGCATTTATTATCATGTAGTAAAACTAAGATGTGTTATAGAAATTATGCTTCTTTTTCTTGTATTGAGATTTTACAGGGATTAAACAGATTACAGTTCAACTTTCCTACACTGACAAAAAAGGGAGGCCAGCTTAAGATCAAAGTGGGCCACCGATGTAAAATGAGTTTGACATCCTTGATTTATACAGACTTATAAACAGTATTTGATTGAAGAATACATTTGTATATTATTATTATCATTCCTATTATTGTTCTGCAGAACAGAAACCTGTGCTAACCCTGTTTTAGTCAGGCCAGTTTAATGTCAACAGGCCTGCTCAATAAATAAAATTAAAAGTTTTATCTCAGACTTCATAAAAAGTCCACTAAAACAACTGCTACGTACTTCTTGTGTTGTTTGGGCTGTAATGGGCTTCTCCTACAGCTCCCTCAGTATATTTTATCTTTCCTCAGTTTTAAGCTTGTGTTCAGTGGACCAGAACTGCAGATACCCATGGGTAAGTGCTGAATGTGGAAAGTCCAGTGCAAGCACTATCCACCACAGAACATTTGTGAAAAAGATGGGATATAAAACATTTGCTGTTGCTGTTTACATTCCTGTGACAGAGCTGTGTTGTTATTGTCTTTTACTCTCTCTGCTCATGTTTGCTCTCACGAGTGGAGAAAAAAAGAGAATCTTAATTTTCTGAAACTGAGAAATGTTGACTGCAAACAGAGTCCACAAACAATTTGTGAAATCTTCTGTGCCACACTGCCACCATCTTCGCCCCCTGGGTGTTGTAAAGTTTGTACTGAGGGGCCTACCTGCGCAGCTTATCAGTAAACTTGTCCAACTCCTCCTGTGCTCTGCGCAGCTCCGTCTCCAGGTACTGCCGTGTGGAGTCAAATTCGCTCTGCAGTAGCTCCAGCTTGTGTGTTGTGTAGTTAAGTCTTTTCCGTAAGTCCTCCTTCTGCTCCAGCAATGAGCTACACACACACACACACACACACACACACACACACACACACACACACACACACACACACACACACACACACACACACACACACACGGGTTCAGAGCACATGATGGAGGAAACAGGCTCCTAACTTGAGTGCATGCTTATCTAAGTAGTCTACAGATCTTTTTAATGCACCCCTGAATGGCTGTGCAGTTATGATGGGAGCATCATGAGAGGGTGATAAAAGTAGAAAACTTGTTTGCAAAAGTGCATGGTGCGAGCAAAACATGGGATCAAAACACAGATCTCTAATTAAGAATCCAGGCTGGGGTAAGTAAGGATACAGAGCTTTTAAGACTTTAGAGCATTAGTCAATCTTTTTCAGTATCAAAGCTTTGCAGCACATCACAGAAACCTCATCAGAAAGTAATACAGGCCCAATGGAGAAAAAAAGAGGTTTTAATCAGTGATGAAACATGAGACAATGAAATCTAATATGTCATGCGAATAGACCCCGAAGGCTCAGATTTACAAAACGACGATATTCCCCACATGTAATATGGGAAGACAGCACAATGATGAGTATTTTTAGAGTATGTGCATTACCTGAGCTTCAATCTAATAAAAGGGCAAGTGTGAGTGGGAAAGGAGGAAATGTCTGTTGCCTTGATGGATCTGAGTGTGCACGGTGGGGCTTAATGGACCTCATATTGACGGACAGATGGAGGAAGGAGGGTAATGACTCTATCTGAGACGGATAACAGATAGCAGATTGGATGGAGATGTGGTCACGACGTTCTTGTCACTTCCTCTCTTTGTCTCTTTTTCTCACTGTTTAACGAAATCATAGATTCAGGGAGTCGAGGGCTGAGGGACATCGAAAAAAAAGAACAGGGACAGGTTCCTTTGAGGGATTTTGTTTTTTCAGGACACTAAAATGAGGTATCACCCAGTTTAATCTAATTAGCATGCATGATAATCTTTCTGCAATCGATAAGATGAAAAGTAGAACGGGTCAAACCAGACTTCATACAGAACCTCATTGGGTATAAATGAATATTTCTGCTCGATTATTTCTCAGTAGTTTTGTCCAAATGTCTCTTTTAATTTCCCCATTAAAGGCAAATTACAACACAGATGCACCAGATATGTGCAGGAGACATGGACACAGAGGACGACTTTGGTTCAAGTAGCTATGTTTGGTATATCCACACTAAGCTTAGAAAACAAAATTGAGCTGAACTAAAAAAGGTGACTCATGAGCACTATTATAGGCCACTATAGACCACTATTATTACACCTGTTATTATGGACCACTATTTGTGTACTGAAAAGTGTTTTTTATGGTTAAAGACCATTATTTGTGCATTAGTGTCATTTTTTTTTAGAAGCTATCTCATTTCAAAGGGTTGAATGACCATATTGTGTTCCTATCCTCTGACCTAGATAGAAGTGTTACAACAGCTGTTCAGTTTAGGGGAATAAGGATAAGGATGCTAAATAAGAACCCAGACACACAGTACAGGGTGGGCCATTTATATGGATACACCGTAATAAAATGGGAACGGTTGGTGATATTAAAGTCCTGTTTGTGGCACATTAGTAAATGTGAGCGGGCAAACTCCTCAAGATGGGTGGTGACCATGGTGGCCATTTAGAAGTCGGCCATCTTGGATACAACTTTTGTTTTTTCAATAGGAAGAGGGCCATGTGACACATCAAATTTATTGGTAATGTCACAAGAAAAACAATGGTGTGCTTGGTTTCAACGTAACTTTATTCTTTCACGAGTTATTTACAAGTTTCTCTTTGTTCACAGCCATTGACATGTCGAAGAGGTTAACACGTGAGGAGCGGATCGAAATTGTGTTGATATCTGGTCAACGCAGTAACCGGGTCATTGCAGCAGATTTCAATGCAAGACACCCTACAAGACCACCCATCTCCCAGGCTACAGTTAGCAAACTGCTTGCTAAGTTTCGTGAAACTGGTTCAGTGTTGGATTTGCCAAAGTGTGGACGCAAGAAAACTGTCACTAATGAAGAATGGTCTGACACTAACCCACATTGGATGGATCCCTCCAAGACTGTTGGACCAACAAAAGTGATGGTTTGGTGTGGTATATGGGGTACAATGATAGTGGGTCCATTCTTCATCAATGGAAACCTCAAGGCCACTGGATATTTGAAATTGCTACATGATGATGTGTTTCCCTCTTTATGCACTGAAGCTGGCACGTTCCCTGAGTTTTTCCAGCAAGATGGTGCACCACCACATTATGGGTGCCAGGTCCGAGCATTCTTAGATGAACAGTTTCCTGGAAAGTGGATTGGTCATCGTGGGCTAGTTGAATGGCCCCCAAGGTCTCCCGATCTGACCCCCTTAGACTTTTATCTTTGGGGTCATCTGAAGGCAATTGTCTATGCTGTGAAGATACGAGATGTGCAGCACCTGAAACTACGGATACTGGACGCCTGTGCTGGCATTTCTCATGCGGTGTTGCTATCAGTGTGGGAAGAGTGGGAGAAGAGGGTTGCACTGACAATCCAACACAATGGGCAGCACATTGAACACATTTTATAACTGGTCAGAAACTTGTAAGTAACTCATGAAAGAATAAAGTTACGTTGAAACCAAGCACACCATTGTTTTTGTTGTGACATTACCAATAAGTTTGATGTGTCACATGGCCCTCTTCCTATTGAAAAAACAAAAGTTGTATCCAAGACGGCCGACTTCTAAATGGCCACCATGGTCACCACCCATCTTGAGGAGTTTGCCCCCTCACATTTACTAATGTGCCACAAACAGGACTTTAATATCACCAACCATTCCCATTTTATTACGGTGTATCCATATAAATGGCCCATCCTGTACTATAGACCAGTTGGTAACCCCTGGCAACTACAGGTCGCTAGAGAAAAATGTGTAATTCTTAGCCAGCTGTACCAAAAACCTCCTTGCATTTGCTTACAAAAGCTGCTCAAAGTTGCACTTTTTGAAATGTGTTTGTTGGAGCAGTAAGGCGGTGGTTTTATTTTGATGGGGAATGGTGTCTTTTTCTGGTTTGTGTATCATGTTTTTAGCTTCACTACCACTTGCCGAGTATTCGGAGGGTGTTTGCAGACAAGTCAGCATGTTACATGTGGTCAACACAGCAATCACAGCAAGGTTTGTGGAGCAGCGCTCTCTTTGGTGCAGCTTTCATCTGGTCAACACGCACTCAGCAACTGGCTGGAGAATATTAATTTTGCCCTAGTAACCAGAGGTTGCCAGGAGCTCAAGGCCTGTGTCAGTGAAGCATTGGTGGATTAAAACTGAATTCCACCACTGTCCAATGTTACAATAATAAAAGCTGAATACAGTTTACTGTCCTAAAGTCCAGTGTTTTGTCAACCCATCCACCCACCCCATCTTCTCCGCATGTAGACTTTGTGGCTCTATAAATATCACCTCACGTCTACCTTTTCTTGTCTTCTCTGACACACATAAATGCAGCTAGATCCTTGCACAAACTCACAATGTTTTGTTTTTCTTAAAGAATAACAAAAAGATACATAATGCAGTGCTCATATTCTCTCAGGTTGATTCCTCTGTATTAGATATGGATTGCTTCTATTTTTAAACCAATTAAGTTTTATTTTATGAAAAACTGAGCATCTGAATTTTTCATTTCCACTTTTTTTTTTTTTTAGCAAAGCAACATAATATCTTATCAAATTTAGAACTTATTTTTTCTCATGTTAGGTAAGTTGTGCTTCTGTAAAAGTAGTTTACGTTCTCTTTTTAAGCCTTTTTTTATGCACTCAGATTGAGTATCCTGCCTCAAGCACAGCTCTAGTCTCCATTTACTCGACTGTAAATACAAAAATGCTAAATACTAAATAACTTCTAGCTTCAGTCTAACTTCAGACTGAAAGTGGGATAGTGTTTATGTTTTATGGAACTGTGTCAGTGAGTAGAGAAAACCTGCCCACAGAGTGATTCAATGAATGTCTCAAATGACTGAGTGACATTTGAGTGCCGCATTATCCAAGCAGCCCCCACCTCCTCGCCTCATGCCTCTCTGTGATTGGTTGGAATCATCAGGGGAAAACAGGTGTTTGTTGTTTGGTAGAGGATGAGTTAACGTGAAGTAGCTCCAGGGATGTTAAATCCCCCATTAGTGACCTCCCCGGTGAACAGGAGCTGAGTCAGACATAATGAGTGTTTTCATTCCAGCGAGATGAGATGACGAGGCAGCGTGACTTCTGGGCTTGGAGAGGCGGGATGAGGCTGCTTTAGCACCTCTGGATGGCGAGAGGAGACACCTCGTGGGCGGATGAACGGACAAACAGATAAAAAACGAGGATGGATGGAAAGATGGCGTCTGAGACGTTCACTCTTACCTCTTTTTCGGATGTTTGCCGCCATTTCGGGGGACTTTTAAGGCGGTTTTGCCAATGTATATCTTTTTCATGGTTTGTCTGTGTTCCTTCCCTCTCATGTGTTTAAAGGGCTTGACCACAGGGAGACAGCATTTATGTTAGTTTTCCAAAGGAGACCAGCTAAGTCTGGAATTAGTGAGTGATCTATCTGTGTTGACCCTGCCAAACAAAGCAAACAGACAGGATGGCAACTTTTAGTAAGGACAAGTCAAGCAGGACAAAACTGATGTTAAGATCCATGGACAGATTCTGTTGGTCATATTCATATGAAAGAACCCATATTATTTTTTAAAGGGCCTGTAGTTGTATGTAGGGGATCTGCTACTAAAAATAACAAATAAAATAAATGCTTTTCTCATAATTTTTCTCACATGCTGCACCTCTTCTCACCTTCTGTCTGAAATGCTCTTTAGCTCCAGTCTATTTAAGGCCTCTCCCCCTGAAAACCCGAATTTGCTATGATCCAACTCTCATTCTACATAAAATCCCTTTTGAGCACAGAGCACACATAGCAACGTTTGCAACTTACCCCTCCGGATATTGCATCAAACTGAAAATAATTCACTGGGTCTTCAGATGCCGTGAAGATTCATGCGCT